TACAAGAGACAACGATAATACATGACAACGTGACACAGCACCAGTCCACGAACACTACAGGAAGTTGCGTCATTCCAACAGGGTGCTGAAATAACCTATTCCGGGATACATTGTGTATTTGACAGACTGGCATCAATGGTTCATAGGAAATCTTTCTTATTCCGTCAGTATAGAAGAAGTTGCTCTTACCGTGAGGAAGGAGGTAACAGATTCCTCCTAATGTATACATCTATGCACCAAACTACAAAGTGAAGTCTCGCAATATATGGAGCTGAAATTAAATTAGATGAAATGACAATATAGCATAAAATTTCTTGAGCGGAAGAGCGAGTTTCAGCTTGTCATGAATCACTCTGAAACGCTGTTACTTTCAAAACAAACAAAACAAACTCCGTGGCTTTAGTCCGCAAGCGAACTATACCGACCGAGCGACCGCCGCTTGTCGGCGAAGTTAGTGTCAACTTTAGAGGATAGAGGATGCCGCGTGGTCAGCCCAACGAATCCCCACGGTCGTTAATTTCTGTTTTATTGAAAGGAGCCGCTACTTTTCAATTCAAGTAATTCCTCAATTATAATCACGAGGCTCAGTGGACCCAGTTCCAGACTCATTACTTCTCAGAACATCTGGTATCGTCGAGAATCGAACCCGGTTCCTGGTACCCATTTCTGTTAGAAGCTGAGTCGATCCCGGGACCACAGTGAGCCTACAAGGATTAGGTAAACTGAAAAATTTAATAACTTTATCGAGAATAAAACCCGCGACCTTCCGGCATGTAGCGTAGTGCCTCAACCAATCACGCTACCGCATGTCCCCACTGTCACTGTAGTTACTTAATTAGTTATTTATAAATGAGAGGGCTGCATGTGAAGGACACAGAACAACGTGGGAATTTGTTCTGGGACGGAAATGAAGACTTAAATCCATCTCAATGACATTTACAAATTCAGTTCTTACCTCACTGGAAACATATTATATCTCCATTACAAAGTCCAGCCGGTTAATTCCGTGTTGAGAAATAATCGCTATTTATCGTGAGCATCATACGAAAAATAAATACATTCTGCTCGCGAAGTGCAAAAGTTTTGAATACTAAAGTAGATGGTACATGTATTTAACATGAACTTTAAAGGGTTAATATGCTAATTTTCGAAACATGCAGATACTAAAACCAAGGGTCAGTGAAGAGTAATTTTGTATCCCATTATATTTCCCCGATTCTTTTTCCAGAGGAACTGTAATGGTAAGGGTTTTATTTCTCCCTGTGTAATTCAATTCATTTTTGTTTTTAACTCGGAAAGGGAATCTTTTAATCTCCAGGGGGCAGTAACTTCTCGGTGTGAGTTACTACTGCCATCTCTCTTTTATACATTGTACTACAGAACTTCTCTTGTACGTTGCAAAATCGTAAAGTTACCCAATGCAGCACTACAGAGCGTTCTGTATATGACTTGACTATTTCCGTTATAAACAAAAGACCAGACTATTGTGAAACATGGATCATTTGTCACGTCTTCTTTTTCATAGTTTTATTCTAGCCGTTTCTTTACATGAAGATGTCAGACGCAAATTCTCATAAACCCTTAACAACACAAAATTTGCTGGAAGAAATAAAAAAAAAATATAACGATATTAATTTATATATTGGGGAGCGTATCATCTTCTGGGATGTAAAGCCTAGTAGTCCAGCGTTGCTTCGGAGGAACATAATTCTTCCATCTTCAGTTTTGAAGGGTAAGACTAACAAGTAGTCAGAAAGAAGGACTGCCAAGTAAAACCTTAACATCGTGTAGTCCGGTAGTAGGTTACTGACATTTCGGAGCAACATACTGCCACCATCTTCAGGATTGAAGTGTAAATGAAATAACTAGCATGGAGCAGGCATCAGTGAAAGAAACATACGCGTTACGCACTTCTAGGCCAGCGAGAGAAATCAGCGGTAACTTCTCACATAGAAGGAAAGTTTATATCTTATTTCGTATCAGATATTGATGATGTAGACAGAAATTATCTCCGAAACGTCGATAGCTGATAGCCTGAGAAGATTTCATTAATCTATTAAGACGTCAGCATTAGCCCTAAAAGCCTCAGTAACTTTTTTACTTAAATGGGTGTGAAACTTGGTCTCTCACATTATGAGAACAGAGAGCGAATGTGTCGGAGAAGATGGTACTGAAGAAAACCACAGAGGAATGAAGTAAAGGAAGACTAAAGAAACCTGAATAACAAGGGACTTGGTAATTTCTTGCAGTCGTTAAATATCACTAGCGAGAATGAGATGGGAGGGGCATGTAGCAGGCATGGGAGAGAAGAGAAATGCATTAATTAATACCGGTGACCCTTACCTTCGTGTTAACAATAAATTTATTTAACTTGCCCCCGTAAGAAAATAACACAAGTATCGGTCCGTCTTCCCCCCCCCCCTTTCTGAGGGGAAGTCAAGAACCCATATGGCTTCAGACATCTCAATAGTGTCACGTGTAGGGGGCCACGCGTGACGAAATGACAGGTCCTAGCTCGGATGATTGGAATTATTAACAGCTTGGTTACACCCTCTTTTAATTACACTCAAATTACAGCGCTGTCGCTGAGTTGCACACACTTCATAATTCACTGTTGCACACACACTTGAACACTCTCAAACACTGAAATCTGTTAGGGAGGCAGAGAGTTACTTTACGACTGGCGGTTTTCCTCCAATCAGTTCGTCTTTGCTACAGCCCCTCGAAGATCACGACCAGAGATTTTTCCCCAACTGAACTCTAGCGGTCATAGTCCTTATGTAACATCCTCTCTGACGAGAAGATGGATTTGTCTCTTATTAATACATTTGACCTTTCGTCATGTGTACATTTCGTACATATAACTTGTTATCGAAAATTCTTTTGTACTACACACAAGTCCTCTGTCAGTACAGGCCTTACAGAGCAGGTCATGCCTAACTTACGTATCTTATGCTATAATGAAAACTTATTAAAGGTGCAGACGACAAGCAGAAGTCATACAAAGTCATGAGAATGAACATGTTCGCGGTAAAGGACAAGGTGAAGCCAGACACAGAAAATATAAGAGGCTTAAACTTGGCGGTGGTGAAGCTTACTGAAATCTGTTCTGTCTCTAACTGTCATTATATATCCTCCGCACTGACCACGCGGAAAACAGCCTACACTGTTGCAACGTGTTTACCGAGCGATCGCATAACAACGGTCATTGGGCCGACGGCATAGAAAACGCTGCACTCCTATTGTTGCCTTGCATGCATTAGGTTGCGAGGTGTTTAATGGTCAGTTACCTAGCAACGCTGTGTCCATCCACGTTACAATATTTATGGTAAGAACGGAATGCCCTATAAATTGATAATCCGGAAACAGATTAAACCTTTATTTTGCGTATGGATTCCGCGGTTGGCATTCGGTGAGACAGTACCCCGTGTGGAGGCGAGGTCGAATACTTCCACCGTGACCCTGCGAGTTGTAGGAGGCGACGAAAAGGGAAGTCTCAATTCTGAGACAGTAAAATAAGGTCGCGAGTCCCAAGGGACTCGGACCCGAGAAAGACTGCGCTGGCAAGGGCCAGCAGCATATACAAAAGACAGACCCGTCCTCTCGTCAGAGAGGGCGCCCCACAGAAACAAGACCGTAACTGTCAAACGGTAATAATTAATATCTGGTCATGAGCCCCAAATGGGGCCCGACACCAAGACTTACTGACTGACTGACCGTCAGTGGCAACGTGACTTTGACTTTATTGACCTTTATTTTGCGTATGGATTCCGCTGCACTCGGTTTCCGTGAGATAATGTTCAGGAGTGGTCAGGATTGAAGTTAATCGTCTACTCCCCTTTACCCTACAATATATTCGTTAATTCTATTTCGAATAAAGAAAAATTGCAGAGTCAGTGGAAGGAGTATCAATATATATGGAGGTCACTGAAATTGATTTTAGTAATTATCGTGGGATATCCCTGTTATAAGTTTCATATAAAACTGTATCCAATTTCCTTCTCTCAGGAGTAAGTCCGCAAGAGAATACAGATGCAATTATTGTGGATCGTCAGTGTGGCTTTCGACGTAACAGATCGACTACTGATAAGATTCCTTGCATTCGTCCGATACTGGAGGAAAAGTGCGAGCACAAGGAGGCGGTACATCCGCTATTCATAGAATTCCAGCTAGTTACAAATACTGGAAGCATGCTGAAAATGTCACGTGTAGGGGTGACTATAGACAGGGTTTGGATTGGTGAAAGCATATACTGATAACTTACAGGTCGTAACTACAAATAACTATAACACTGTCTAGTGTTCTCAGTCTGTTACTAGACGTTTCCTGGTAACGGCTCCAACAATGGTTATTCCTCTGTCTCCGGTTCAAGTCCTCTCTTCACAGACTCCCGTACAGAACTGACTCTCAATCGACCTTGGTAAAGGTAAAGCTATCCCTGTAGCAGGCAGTGGATGTCCATAGGGTTGGGAGACGTCGAGGCTCCTCACATTTTCCAGACAATCGGCAGAGAGATGGCGGTGTATGCCGTCTTTAGCCCTTGAGGAAGTTTCCTGATTGTCATTTGTGTTCGAGGCTGAGAAGACCCCAGGGCCATAGTGCAGCTGGAAGGATTAGGTAAATTGAAAGAATCCAATGACCTCTTCGGGAATCGAACCCGCGACCTTCCGGCTTGTGACACTACGCTATCCCATCCCTTGCTTATAATATCTCCTCATAGAACACGTAGAAAACACAGCTCCTCCAATAACGTAGTCCAACTGTTTCGTTATTAAGAGTCTATTGCCTAGAAACGGGAACATGTTTACCTAGCCGTTACCCAGAAACGACCCCTTCGTTGCATTGCAAAATAATCTATAAAATTTAATGATGGCGTCATGGTCTACGTAAATACATAGCGACGCCGGTCCCTTATTGCGAACCTAGATGACGTACATACACTGAAATGGAAAGTTTGAGATGTCAGTTTGCAGACACCGTGAGTTGGCTGTGCACTTTACCTGATATGCCGTCGTACGTCCACCATTCTTCCCAGCTGACCCCAGAGATACCTGCAAGAGAAACAGCAGTACTTAATCTCAGTTCAGCACGCAAATGGGCGGCATGTATTGGAGCAAGTTCCCTTGACAATCTGTTCGTCCACTCTCTTGCTGAAGCCCTCTCTCTCTCTCTCGGGAACTACAATTTATTTCGACAAGTAATCTACAAATGGCGGTCCCTGGGTTACATCCAGTCCGCACATTTGCTCTAGTGTATAGATGGCAAGTCACAATGTAACAGCGTCTTTGACTCAGCACCAAGAATACAGTCCGTACACATTGGCCACAGGATCACACGCAATCACCTCACGATCCGCGATATACACATCTCTGCGAAAACCAGAAAACAGTACACAAGAAGAAAGTTTCTTATGACATGCATTATATCATTTTATATAATTTTAGTCTTTAATCATGCTATATATTATATATACATTATACACAAATTTTCTTCGCCAAATATAAATAGAATGACCAAGACAACAAGAATAAGATGGGCAGGGAATGTAGGACGAATAGAAATAAAACGGATGCATGAAGAATATTGGTGGGAAATCCAAAAGGAAGTAGACGACTATGAATATTAAGACGTAGGCAGGTGGATAATAATAAAATGGATCTTGGACAGGTTTGGATGGTATCGACTTAATTTATCTGGCTAAGGATACGAAACAGTTGAGGGCTCTTGTGAAAAAGGTAATGAACTTTCGAGTTCCATAGAAGTTTGGAGATCATTAAGTAGCTGCACAAATGGCGGATTTTCAAAAGGGTCTAAATCATTGGAGTTATTTTTTTTTCCTTTGGCGCTACAGCCCCAATTTGGGCCTTGACCTACCTCCATGAAACTCTCCGTTCACTTCGGTTTTACTATATCTTAGACATTCGGTAAGACCCCTTGGGTGGGTGATCAGCTCGTCCCAAGGCCTCTACCTGTACACAAATATGGAAAATCGCGCGCAGACACGCACACATACACACTGAACATTCATGCACTGAGTGGGATTCGAACCCAAGATCCCGGCTTCCGAGATAGCGAAGACAGTGCATGCCTTAGACCGCCCGCCTACCGTGACCGGCGCTCCATGTAGTTATTCATAAATTTAAAAGGTAACAAATTGATTTAAATAACAAAACTTTCAGACGTACACCCCTCACTGGCTCTAATACTATAATACAGTATAACAGTTTATGCGAATTTTTATATATTCCTGACGAAGGCCCTGAAAGGCCGAAACATGTAGTTGAATTTACATTAAAGAGTCCACATAGTGGTGATTCAACCAGTAATCTGTGAAACTGCAGGGAAGACGCTATTGTGTTTAGATAAAGGCAAAGTCCCTGTACTTAACTATTTAGGCTCTAGACCATGAAGGCGTATAGTGGAGCGGATGTATAGATCCACATATTCCTGACCTCGGCACTAGCTGGAGCTGAGTGATCAGCTTCACGACCCTGCCGCTTTATCCTGGGGAAAAGCCCCCAGGACCCACTGGATAGTAGTTTAGGTGGACCCCAGTACCGGTCTGGAAGACGTGGAGAAGAGAAAATTCTTGACCTTACCGAGACTCGAACTCCGACCCCCTTGGTCGTCTAGCCCGTAGCCAGTCGCTGTGCCAACTAAGCTATTTCGGTTTCTGTGTCCGGTAAGAAGGGCTTAAGGTAAGAATCACTATAGAAAGCACGGATAGAGTAAAGACATTTATTTCAGTGATGTCATTGTTATACACCAGTGCAAGAAAATTTGGTGGGATAGTGCAACTGGTATAAAGACCAAGCTATGGGTTGGCCGCGCCATAGTCCAAGCGGTTAGTCGCTGGCTTCCCATCGCGGCGGCCCGGGTTCGATCCCGGGTCTGGTCAAGTGGAATTTGTGGTGGACAAAATGGCACTCGGGCGGGTTTTCTCCGAGTACTTCGGTTTCCCCTGCCAATCTTCATTCCACCAATTGCTCCACAGTCACCCTCACCTATCACCTGGGGCTGGTACAATAAGCCAGAAGTGGCCGCAGTACAAGGGACTTAGTCCCAGCCCACTAACAATAAAAAAAAGTATGGGTTATAGGTCACAGTACTGAGGGTTCGGTTCTTGGAAGAGAAAAGGGAACTTTATCGTCTCCACAACGCCCAGCCTACGGAAGGCGTGTAAGGTTAACCTCACCGCCATCTGTGAGCCGATAGTCTAACAAACGTGGGAGCCTCGACGACTCACAAACCTTATGTGTCTGCAAGGTCTGTTACAGGGATAGTTTTACATTTACAACATCCAGACCAGTTCTAGGGCCCACCCAGCCTCACATCCAGTGGCACTGAATAATTATTCCCTAGGTACAGGTCCCCTAGAATAGGAAGCTAGCACTGACCCACCTCCAGTGCCTAAGTTAAGAACGCATGAAACCTCGCCGCCCTCCGACCGCATTCCTTCAAGGCGTGATGCTTAATTATGCCAGTCTTGAGAACGCTCATTGATCAAACCAAGAAGGAAAGATAAGCGAGGAATGAAACACACTCAAGTGAAAATAGACGTGCAACGAAAGTTTAATATGAAAATCTGAAGGAAAGGGACTATCAGGAAAACCTGGGGATAGAGGATAATGATATTAAAATGGATGTCTACAGAAATGAAATGGAATGTTATAGACTATATTCATCTGGCTGATAGGAACCAATGGAGGTCGCTTGTGAACACGGTAATGAAACTTGGATTTCAAATGTTTGGAATGTCTTGAGTGGCTGAGCAACTGGCGTGTTCCTCACATAGGACTCCGCTTAATAGAGTTCGTCATATACACTTAATTTCAACCATCTAAGCTTATTTATTTCATTATCTATTTACCGCGCGGTTTAAGGCATGAACTGTCTTCGCTCGCTCGAACATTGGGATCGTGGTTTCGAATCCCATTCAAGACATGGATGTCTGTCTGCGTTTATTCTATGTCTTGTGTTGTTCTGTGTGTAGGTATTGGCTGATCTCCCGTCAAAGTTGTCCTACGACTGATTTAGGATTAAGAATCTGAAGTGAAACAAACCGTTTCACGGATGCCCTCTGCCCCAAAGTAGGAGTAACGGGAACAAAGCGAGAGAGAATTCTGTATTACGTAGTTATCCTGAAATGCAAAGGATACACAGAGCTATCAACCACGCTGAAGCGGCCTTGAAACATAATTATGACAGCTGAAACTGCGCTTGCAACATATGTAACGTGATGTAATGTTTAAAGGGAAATGCTGAATCTTGCCCTGTTCTTACTCTGCAAATGACTATGGTCACACCTGTAGCCCAGGAAGATTTGGACGGGCATATATTACAATAAGATTCCTAATAGAAATATCACAGATCTACATTACCGCTCCTCATGGGGAATAGAGGCATCTTGCATCATTTCTCTGAGACCCTTAATGTAAGGCCTTCTTCTACCATATTGTGTCCTAAACAAAAATGGAGACGCGGAAGAAAATACGTTGACTTTTACTAGAAGTTATATCACGCTTTATGTGACCCAGGGGAAGGATCTAATAAGTACAAGACGAAAATATACTGAAGAAGATTCCTTTCTTTAAACACTGCTCTCAGTATTGTCTCTTGCTTCATGACCCATGAAATTATTTCCATCAAAGTCAATTTCCTCTTACGTATCCTCTCTTAACGATAATGTTCTGTCCCGAAAAAAAATGTGTTATAAATGTATTTACAAAAACATGGATTGCCACAGTTTAATTCAGAAACTCAGTTAAAACTTAAATTCATTTTCATTCAAAATCTCGAAATTACTACACAAAATATGAGCGTTCTACATATGATACAACTACACTGTACTTTATACGATGGGGTACCCAAAAGAAACCAAACTAATTTTTTTTTTGTGGGCAGAGCTTTTGTAGTACCGCGTTTTGCCGCTATAAGCGCATAGAGCCAACATTCCTGGGTCGATAAGCCGACTACCTTTGCTTCAGAAGGTAAGGACTAGTTTCGGCAGAGTTTGTAGTGAAAACGGTTTCGTGTGATCGTCGTTTTTGCAATGGCCCGAACACATGAAAATGTTGAAAAATTTCGTGAAATCATCAAGGAAGATTGACGACGGACCATTGAAGAAATTGTGGAGCTGTCGGGAGTGACTTGGAGCTCAGCTCA